AGGTCGACTTTCGTTGAATATGAGCATTATTTCTGTTGTTACGTTGACGGCGTAGAAGCATGTTATATCGGGTCTTTCCAACCCATGCGCAGGCGTTTCTCCATATGTTATCACAATTTACCATTCTTTCATTCACCACAGCTATATACTCCATATCTACAACAATTCAACATTTCCACATGGTTCGATCTACACGTCTTCAATCTGACATCATATTGCCCCCTTGTTTACTTCAGCCCATCATAAACTTTCTTCTCAACATCAAACCATAACGGAACTAACTTGGCATCCGCAAATGGCAAAATCTGCGTACAAATCACACCAGCAATACCATGCTCCCGATCACACCACCAGAACAAGTTCGCAATACCCGCCCACATTGCGCTCTTCACGCTCCTACCGGTCAAACTGCTCGTGATCATGAACGACAAGCCCCAGCCCTGCGGTTCATTGTTGTTCAGGGGGTAGATGTCCGGCACATTGTTGACGAGGTCGGGTTTCTTGTTCAGCAGGTTACCTTGCCTGCCAAAGTTGGGCATGTGGGGGATATGGTTTTGGAACATAAGGTCGACGGTGGACTTGGTGAGGATTTGTTTGCCCGTTTTGGGCGATGTGCCGTCGTTTAGCAAGGTGGTGAGGATGTCTGGATCAGGGTGGTAGGTGCGGGAGGCATTAGCTTCACGCGCTGGGTGTTTGCGTATGCATACAAATTCACACCTCGGCAAGGCAACACAAGAACCAGTGACAAAGAAACTTATCAATTAACTCACCCAAATAATCTTGCGAGGTGGAGAAACAACCCGCTCCGCCGGAATTCAGCATGCCTTTGGTCTCCTCCTTGTTCTTGGCCAGTAGGGGCCACCTTAACAAATGATCCCTCTGTGATAAGGTGCCATCTGGGTTCCGGGAATGCATATATGCCAGCCTCGCCTTCATCTCAGCTGAAGGGAGCATGCTGATATTCTTTAGCCCGAGAGGCTCGAAAATATACTTATGGAAGTAGTCATTGAGCAAGAGGCCGGTAACCCGCTCGACAGCGATTCCTGCCCAGTCAATGCCAACCTATGAGTTGGGCTAATGTGTCAGCTTATGGAGATATTCTACTAATTTCTTTGTTTCGGCGCTTCTCGATAATTAGGTAAAGTACGTACACCATACTCAAACCCCTCGCCAGGTTGGAAGATCAACGGCTGCGTAACATCGTATACGTGACCTGAGAATTCATCGAAGCCAATAGGCCGGTTGTAGTCTCGAACCTGTTCATTGAAAAAGGAATATCCAAATCCCGCTATAGTTGTTTACCCAAATCAGCCCCATCATCTTACACATCTTCTGGAAATGCAAAACACTCTAGAACCGGGATGAGGTGAAATAAGCTTGGGCGGGGGGGAAAGAAAAATACCAGTGTGCGTCAACAACATCCTCAACGAAATCCCTCTCTTCTTCTCCACCACCGTCCCATCCTTCTGCAAGACTTTCAACTCCTTCAATTCCGGGCACAGGCTTTCAATCTGCCCAGCATCATAGAGAGAAAGTTTCCCCTGCTCAACCAGCTGCATGCAAGCAATTCCAGTAAGCATCTTCGTGAACGAAGCGATCCAATAGACAGAGTCCAGGGTCATGGGCTCGTCGACTCCCTTGCCGCGTTTGCCTGCGGCATGGGCAAAGAGCTGCTTGCCTTCTCTGTCGGCCACGACGAAGGTCACCCCCGGGATTCCGCGCTCTTGATCCGCACAGGCATTTTCAAGTGTCTGGCGGATGGAGGTGACACTCTCGGGTGTGAGATCTTTGCCCATTGTCAGGTTGGGATTGATGGCTCTTTAGGGGCTCTTTAGGGGCTGTTAATTCAAAGGTTTGAAGAGAAATATCCTGTTCTTCCCCTGTTCTTTCTCTGTATATAGAAATAAATATAAAGATATTTTCATCTCAATACCAAGAACTTAGCAACTAAGTACGGCGTCAAATGGGCATTTTATACTAGTGTTACAATGAGCACACATTAATGCTAATACAATCAAGATCTCCTCATTGGAGGTTGTATGAAAGAATGACCCACATCAGTGGAGGGCTCTCAACCTGGGATCTCTATTCTTAGGCTAGTCTTCACGGGGATCTATATCCAGGGGTCTGTATGTGCCCAGGAGTCTCTATACCCGGCGCCGCTCTATACCCGGGGACTCTATAGGGGCCTCTTTAGCGTATACCCAGGGCGGGAGGGGCTTCTGTAGTTACTGTGTATGTTGATCTGTGGGGGTTGAAACTCATAGTCCGAAAGCCAAGACTAACTAAATCAATGTAGTAATATACTAACTACATTAAAACTAGTGTAATTGATGCATGTCTATAAAATCAGTATTATGTGGAACACTGAACACATTAAAAAGCCGAGGGATCCGGAAAGACAAGGGACCAACAGTTGAGCTCAAATTTATACCTGATGCCCTGTCCTTCCCCTCATCTGGCGCAGGATTGCTGTTGGGCCGCACGCCAACGCTCGTCGTCTCTCCATCCTAGTTCTGGGTCAGCTTCCTTTGCCGGCAACTAATTAGATAGTTATAGTTAGTAACTAGTTAATAGAAATCAAGAGCTCAAATGGCAACCTAAGCTTTAGCCACTAAGAAGCAGTGCCAGTCGGTTCACTATGAAAGACCTGCTGAGAATAATGCCAGCGCGATTCTGTTTATTCTCACAAATCTTAAAGCATGTAAGAACTCAGCACATATCATTCTAGGTCTGTAAATTTAGAAAAATTCTCAGGACAAACAACTTCTGGGCTAGGACTACTTCTGTGCTGGGACCACTTTACTTCTGTGCTCGGACTACTTCTGTGGTAGGACTACACTTTCCAACGTATGCCGGCTGTTACGTTGATTGATTGATTGATTGATTGGTTGATTGATTGATTGATTGATTGATTGATTGATTGGTTTAGTCACAGACTGTCCCAGCCGCCCTTGGAGTTGAAACCTCAAACTGGCATACAAGTGTATATATTAATATATCTGTCTATGAGGATAGCTCTCTCGATGGCTCTAGCCCTGTCGGAGTCGAGGTAGATGCCTTTGAGTACTGGCTTCTGCCATGGTTCCGGGGGGCATGCGTCGATTGTCTCTATTGGTTCCAGCTCCTCTCTGTGGAACATTCTCATCGTGTCCTCTAGTGGGTAGTAACGTCTGTTTCCATTGCAGGTTGCACCTGCCATGGCCCTCCTGAGGGGCCCATATATCGGGTGAGAGGGGGGTTCTTGTACGAGTAGCACCTCCAAATCTCCAATTTTGCGGTCATTGAGGAGTGTTGTCCGGAGGAGTACGCCTTCAGCTCCTCGCGGTGGACGCTCTCGATATGGTTCCAGAACTTGTTCGTGCGCTCCCGGACATTCATCCGGTACCCCCAAGGCAACGAGGTATCAGCGACACAGAATGGGCACTGCTTTTCATCCGGAATGGATTCCTTCGCCCGCATGGTGTCCGGGGGTGGGTGCTGTTTCTTGTGACAACCCCGACGCTGAACCTCCTTCCGACGCTGCAGCTTGAACCAGGCGATGATGCACGCACACCGGCGCGCGAACTGCTCATGCTCTGTCAGTTGCTGAGTGCCAGTGCATGTCAGTTTGATGATCTGTCTCTGTTCCGGGATCTGAAGGGGTGGCGGGGCTGGACACTCATTCAGAGACTCGCCGGCCGTGCCGTTGCGGAGTCGGTGGTTAAATCGCTCCGTATCAGCATGCCGGAAGTGCCACCTCCTCTGCCAGTTTTTAAGCTTGGAGTGAAGGTGAACTTTGCCGCGGTTCAACCGGGAAACTGTCTTCATCTTCTCCTTGTAAAGCGGAGTTTTGCCCCGCGCTGCTGGCACAGAACAGAATCCCATTGCCCTGAGCCTCTGAGTCAGCTCTTTACTTTGCTCAGTTAGTTCTTTGATCTTTGAGTTATCAGTGATCTTTCTTTTCAGCTCATTGGTAAGTTCCGTGGGGGCGGTCGCGTCAGTGTTCAAGAACAACCCATGGGCTGCTTCTGAACCACTTCATTGGATGGGAGCTCCATGGCCGCGGCTTCCAGATCGAACTAGATGACCGTGTCTAGATAGTACCGTACCACATTGGATTCGTGGTCAGTGACTTGATTCTGAACAGAGGACGGAGCTTTGTCTGCAGATCTGGTAGGTCAGCAAAAAATTCTTGTTGGTATGATGATCAGAGAGAAAGGAAAGAAAGAGAGGATGAAAGTGTGAAGAAACAAAATGACTTGCTGAAGCCTGAGTTACATTTGAGTTTCTCAGATGTTTTATTGAGGCATGCTCTTGAATTAGTTTAGAAATGCCATTCCTTAGTGAATCTGCTCAAGATGACTGATTCTGTACCAGCATCTTTCTATCTCACTGATAGGCAGTGGGTCCTGCCCAATTTAATGATTCATCAGTTTGTCACTGTGGTAGTCATCACACTGAAGCTGGAATATATTCGAGGTCCATTCATTGATGTATTGAGATTTGGTGGGGTGATCATTGCTCAGACTTTCTACACAACTCTATGATGTCCACTGCCCAGGATACTGCTTTGACCTTCAAGAGGGAACTTGTTGCAAAGGTGTTTGGGCAGGACACATGCTGGATATCATACCATTGGATTCTGTTCACATTGATGGCCTCTGAAAGGATGTAAGTGATAAAGTGATGAGACAGATTGCAAGGATATGCAAGACTAAATTTGGAGAAGAGTGGCATGAGAAGTTGATTTCATGAAAGTGCTGAGTGAGTCTGATGAAGGGCACTTAGACAAATTACCATGCTTCACTATAGGCTGAACTAGGAACTAAGATGCCTTGGCTCTTATCCAGATTCCTATCCACATTGTGCTTATAAAACTTCACAAGTATCTTACAGGGCCAAAGCAGTTTTGCCGGCCCTAGAGAAATACATAAAGAAGAAATCAAGATGACTCAACTCACTAATATTCTAATATATTTTGTATAAATACACTAGATATAATTACTCTCAAGATTCAATTGCAACATCTGTAGAAGTGCTCATTCTATTGAATACCAACTATGAAACTACACTAAGCTGGGGAAAGAAAGGAATCATTTATAGATATTTAGTTTCACTAGTGTACACACTGGATATCAGCGAGGGTCTTACATTCCTACCTCCTAATGCTCCTTGGAGGGCTTCCTTTGACACGGGTGTTCTCTTTGAGCAGTGATCCCCAACCGAAGTGTGCGGATGCATATATCTAGTCCCGCTAGCATACCAGGGGCTTACAAAATCTACTTCCTTGGCTTTTTGAATACTTGAGTTTGTTCAGTGAAAGAAGTGGTTGGTGTAACATCTGTGGAGTCAATATAGCCCAGCTGACTTGGTTGGCTGTCATCATCATTGATTGTGAGCACTGACTCGGCGTTGGATTGTTCGGAGTATTGAAGTTCTGACTGTGAGATCTCAAAATCCAAATCAGAGGGGATATGGTCAATCGCTGAGCATATTCTTTTAAAATGAGTTGGCATCCATATATCATAAACATTCCTTGTGAACTTGTATGCTGTCCATTTCTCTTTGCCATCCAGAGCAGTGAAATCGAACTTGTGAATCGGGTGGCGGTAAAAATTCGTCTTCTCTCCTTCAAGAACAGCATAGTGACCATAGATCCTCACCGCTGTGTGGTCATGCGAGATTGAGAAGGCGAGTATCTCCCGGTCAACCTCCTTTTCACGCTTCACGAGCTTGAATAACTCAACAGTAGCTCTCACTGCAATAGTGGCGCTGTGGGCATTCTGTCGATCTGCGATGTCAAGTGACGCTGCACCACACTTAACTTCACATGTTAAGAATGGGAAGTATAGGTAGTATGTCGCCATAAAGTATGATGTGTCAGTCAGCTCACCAACAAAATCCCGAAGCCTCCGCAGCTGGCCATCTGTGAAAGCATCTCGTTTAAATCCCACGGAATAATCAGGCTGCGGTCGAGTTTTTGTAACAGGGATTGAATTATCCCAGCCTTCATTGACGCTTTCGACCAGATGATCGAGATGTGTTGCACCATATATAGCTAGATTTTCCGCGGAGGGGACAATCAATCGAGTGATATCTTGGATAATGATGGCCTCATTTCGGCGTCGCACCTTCTCACAGGTTGCTTTGAACAGATCATCACGGAACAATGAGTTTTCAGGAATCTTTTGTGCAGCATTGAGCAAAGTTTGGTAACAACTTTTGCTGACTTCTGTGATACCCTGCTTTGATTCACTCATATAGCTGCCTTTAATTTCTAGCAGGACTTCATAGCGTGGGTTCTTGTATTGAGAGCTTTTTTCCTCCCTTGGCTTCTGATTGCTAGGGGTAGTAGAGCTGGTGAGAGTAGATTCCAATTGTTTGTGATGAAGTGAAGATGTCGATTTCTTTCTCGCAAGTAGTTGACTCATGTCATGCCCCTGTTCAAAGTATTCTCTCGGCCAGGCACCTTCCTTCCTCCAGCAGTTGATTAAGTTAATCTTATCTTTGTATTCTGTAGCCTCCTGAGCGGGAGTATCCTCAACGGGCAACCTCGCATCAGCGGGGCATGAAAGAGATGTTCGCGGCCGCTTTTGGAAAGATTCGGCTGGAAGGCAGGGTGAGTCCTCAGCTTCTTGTGGTCGCTTCCGTTTTCGAGAGTCAGGTTGAAGAGGGTCGGGCGGCTTTTGTAGAAACTTGGCCTTTGAAGTTAGTTTTGTAAGTGGAGCAGGACAAATAAATAGAACATACCTGTTTCTTGGAATTTGTGCAAAGGGGGCCCTGGACAGCGGTTCTGCTGTCCGATACAGCTTTCCCCCGATGATGATATATCTCTTTTAGGCGTGCACTCCGGCGGGGAACTCCTCGTGGTCGTGCCTTTCGCACACCTTGAGGCCGCTTTCCTATCAACAAATGGTTAGTCAAAGGGGGGCTGGTCACGAAAGGAGAATGGCTTACGGCCTTGAAGTCTTAGCACTGCAGACCCCTGTGATTGCTGTTGTATAGTCGAAGGAGTCGTCATCTCGACTGCAAAAAGAGGGGTTGAGAGCGGTTTATGTTATTGTCAAGAGGAGGTGCGGTGCTGGTTAAACGGGGGCAACAGCGACGGGGGCTAGAAATACTGAAGTGCTCCACGCTACCTCCAATCCGGCCCAAATAGCCCCGTTCGTTGGGTGGTGAGTCACGTTACCTAGGTAGTAGTGGCGGGCACAAGAGCAACCCCGCCATGCGGCCCGTGCTTGGCAGGTGTTCGGCCCGCGGTAGTTGACTTGCTAACTTACTAATTAGCAGACCCTGGAGAAAGAAGGGCGGGCAGCCAGTGCTTCTGTCCGGCGTACGTAGCTCCCTCCAGAAATGGTAGCTTTTACTGAACTTACTATGTATGTAGATCGCCAGCACACATTGACACAACGTGATGTTTGATCCATGCATTTATTTTATTGGGCAGGAGAAAAAATTCTAGCGTATTACTAATAATAATACAAACGAGTGAGGTACGTACATGTATGTTGCAATAATAATCAATGTATGTATATGTGATGCGTTATTACTTTTCTTTACATCCGAAGCCACATTGTTTAGAAAAGAAAAAAAGAGAACCTTACAACTGGTCAATTGCTGCTCTAATCTTCTCGTAGAAGAACCCTGTTTCGAATCATCATACGCTCCTAGTTGCTTAAAGTGAGGGGTTAAATATGTTTCGGGCTTCGACTGCTTTCGGGCTCAGTCTCGACCAAGTGGGGGCAGTTTATCAGCGCTACCCTCGGGTAATTAGAGATTCTCAGACTCATGATTAGACCTGAGCGGAAAACCCGTCATCCGGTACAAGGATACGATTCGAGAGATCGTGAGTGGAAAACGGTATATACGGAGTAAAATGTAAGAATAAGAGAATATTTACAGTACTTGACAGGTTGGTATAGGAGTGGATTTGGGAGGAAGAAGAGCGTAGGATATAACCTTTTTTTCCTTTCTCTTTTTTACCCCTTTCTAAAATAAAAATAAAAATAAAAATTCCAATTTGCTTTTCAGGCTTGGCTATACATGTACAGTGCTTGCAAGCTGGCATCTATGGTGACTTCCAGCAGAATAATACAATCATATCACAGAATGGGGCCTGCAAAATCACACCTTCTATTCTAATCAGGTTTTGAAAGCACCTAACATATTGCTTCGCTTCGCTCTGCAAATAACCTTTTTTCCTTTCTCTTTTTTGCCCCCTTTCTAAAATAAAAATAAAAATAAAAATTCCAATTTGCTTTTCGGGCTTGGCTATACATGTACAGTGCTTGTGAGCTGGCATCTATGGTGACTTCCAGCGGAATAATACAATCATGGCGGTTTCCTAGGTCGTTAGGCGTAAAATAAGATGGTACTTTGGAGGGTATCTAGACGAGGACGTAAAGTGCGCACATCTAATATAGCTGTCAGCACATCCATCCATCCAACTATACAAGTTCGATCTGGGAGCCAACGTACAAGGGAGAGCCCGATAATCATGGAAACCCAAAAACAAACGTTCTAAATGGTGTTTGAACAGTTAGCAGCTAGACTGTATAGCGATTCCCTTTTATTTATTACGGAAATGGTGGAATAAATCACTAACATTAAGAACTTTTCGTCCCCTAACAAACTTCGAACGCTGCACGGCAACGATGGGCAGCTGCATCATCATGGCAAGGAAGCCATACCCCCTGATTTTCTTGGTGATACACGCCATTACCAATTCATGTCCAATGGAGCTCACCAAGAATGTGATGAACATGGCCTTGGAGTTGGAAAAGTGAGTTAAAGATGAGAAATAAACGTGGCGCCGAAGGAAATGGTGGACCGGGATATTCCACTCCCTAGAGAACTCCAGCCTGTCGAACAGAGCAGGTTAGCATATTAGAAACCACGATGGTCCGCAATAGATGAATAGGATACGTTCATACCAATCGCAAGAGTTCCACCAGTCAGCGTAAAATTCGCGGTCCGCAAAACGTGTAATTTCCGCAAAGGCATTGAGGGTATATTCGAAAATGACAAGAAACACCAACAAAAACGTTATCATGAAAGGCAGTAGCAGGAAGCTAATAGCTTCTGCAAGGACCAGAGCCTTCTCAGATTTGCTGCTCAGGCCTTGCATTCTTTCCGCAGATTCGTCTAGAACTGGAACGATGAACTCTTCGCTAACATGGGTAAGTAAGAATATACAGCCAAAAACAGCCAATGTTTTAAAGAAAACCTCCATCCATCGTATTTCTTTCGTACGTGGATATTCTAGTTCGTAGCACAGCGTTGGACAGAGAAGATAATCCACATAATTGTACACGGTCAGGTTCTGGGGGTATGAGACTTGACCGAGAGGAGAAGTTAATTCCATTGCAAGATCTGAGCGGAGTTTAGAAAGCGATTGCTGGGATTCATCCTCCTTTGCGTTATCTGATTCCGTACTCTCTTCCATTGTTTGACTCTCGGACCGTGGATAACGAACAGCTGCAGAGAGTGAACTGGCCTCCGGCTTATCCAAACCGTTTAAGCGATGTTCTGTCTCGCTCAAATGTCCGTTGTAGAAGGCGTAGGAATGCATTTTCATCAAAAGAGTTAATGTGTGTAGGATAAAGAACACCTGAGCAGTCCAAGCCCATTTAAGCTGGAATGGCAAGCTGGGAGAAAAAAATATGTTAGCAAATATTCTCGCTGCAACATTATGCAAGAAGCTTAGAAGATACGTACGCCACCCATAAAGTGAGCCATGCGATCTGAAAGCAACTTTGCAATATCATTCCTCCGTTTAGCCATCTTAGCCAACCTTGACTTTGCCTGATTACTAAATGGAGCGGAAGAGATAGTGCGGTACTCGAAACCATAACAATATCACACAGGGCCAGTTGCCAAACGTTCGCTGACAGCAGTGACCACACTTGTACCCGTAATGGGTAGCCAGTGTCTTTTATATTTCGCACAACCGTGGTCATGACCATGATAAACAAGCTAACCCAAAAAAGGGAGAAGAAGCCGTGGAAATCTCGATAATCGCTATCAGGGTCGAAATGAGATACCCTAGGTTTGTAATCGATTGAGTAGAACAACCTTTGACTTGCCTGGGCTCGTATCTGCTTCCTTGCGCATGATATTGATTGTACGGATGGGGGAGCATCTTCCGGAATAGGGGTGGACCGGCCACTTTCAGGAGGGGTTAGCTTTTGTTCAAACGACAAGAAATACAAAATACCGGGGAGGATTATTCAGAAGGGCAAAGCTTTTATTCTTATTTGTACCTTGATATATCGAAGGATAATCTATCTACGCTCGCAGAGGGGGTAAGATGATGGTCTTCGCTCTGATGTTTTGGCCGCACTGCGCGTGGTCGTAGGATGCCGGTTCCGGTACTCCCATTTACATGCACAGAGGACATGGTGAGAATGGTCTATCGGGGACAATGACCTAAGTCTCAATTAAAGATAATAATGGTGGACACAGTAGGATAATCATAGTAGGATAAAGATAATATATATACAGCGATGGCGAAGGAAAACGCCAGCTCAATGCTGGTGATGAAGAAAAGAAAAACATGTCCGCTCTCGGCGCTCGAGGCGAACCTTCCCGGTGATGTCAGCGCGCTTGCATGCTGCTTTAGTGCCAGGGTTTTGACCCAACGGCGTGAGGCTGGGCATTAACTTGCCTGCACAAGTTAAAACAGCGACGAGGAGAGCTCGGAAAGCTCAATAATACGGAGTAGAATTACTATACTTTATTAATGTCAGCCACCCCGGATCTAGGTTCGGATCCCTTGGAAGAAGCTCTCCTCGATGAAAAAAAGCTCTTTCATGCGGAGGATGACGGATTTACGTTATGTGAAATGATTGAACTCCCCCCAGGTATTCAAATGGTTGCGTCTCTATCTGTCAGATTTTAACTGGTATTGACCAATTTTAACTCCGCTCGACCTTACAGAACAATTTCAACATTAAATATAACTGTCACCACATGCATAATTCCCGCGGACCAAGGACCGCCATCTATAAATAGACTTCTGACGCTGAAGGTCTAACCATTGGAGACCATCGACGCAGAGCTTAAATATCTCCGTAGCAGTGCAAGCATTCTGCACGGCCATAAGGATGAATGGGCAATAATATATCGAGGAAGTTGTCAAAGGCGCTAAATAAAATATATGGTGACTACCGAAGTACCTACCCCGAGTGGGAGGGGCATACTATTGGTTATTCATCCGGAGAAAAGAACTCCTATGGTCTCGAGGCTTTTGAAAGTGTACTAGTAATGAAGAAACGAAGCCCAAGATACGATCCATTATTCTGAAGTCTCAATGCCAAGCTCTGATATTGGAGGTTCAAACAAAGCAGTACGCTAGACCGTATACAGTTAGCGTCCCTTGTTCACCCACTTGGCCAGATATGTAAGCCGCGCTGACCAGACAGCTCATGGTGCCAGAAATGAAGGTTGATATGGGAAGACACAAAAAATAACGATCCATATAAGCCAACAAACGGTCTTTCGAAGTCAGGGAACGGCATCACAAGTTACTTCCGCCGTTAAAGCCCTGGTACTCCTGGCGACCAGTTACATTTCGACGTTCCCCTTTTTGGGGTCCTTGCGACCACCATGAGTTCCCGTATGTCCAAGCCCCTCATCTCCATCTCCACTATGTCGGGACCACTTACTCATATCGATCATAGTCAAGCAATTCATTCGGAATGTGCGAGCGTCCAAAACCATTGCGGATGAGCGATCAGTGATCCAAAAGGAGAGTGCGGCGATTCGAGCCAGCTTCAGGGAAGAAAGTGCGGATTCAAATATAAGGTGTGTGGGGTGGAAATTCAAGACAGATCTCGGAAGATGACATTCTCACATGGTAGATTTGCAGGAGAAATAATGTGGCTAAGCTACTCTATCTTTTCACGTTGGGTGAACGAACGCACTTCGGTCAGATAGAATGCCTCAAGCTGCTGGCATCGCCCCGTTTCGCAGACAAACGGTTGGGGTATCTGGGAACTATGCTACTCCTCGATGAGAACCAGGAGGTGCTGACATTGGTGACTAATTCCCTAAAAAAGTCGGTCTCGTGCTATCAAGTTCCCCCCCTTCCCCCCGTTAGGAAGAAAAATAATATTTGCTTATTATGATGTATAGTGATTTGAACAACTCGAACCAATATGTTGTGGGCCTGGCCCTCTGCACCCTGGGAAATATCGCCTCTGTCGAAATGTCGAGGGACTTGTTTCCCGAAGTAGAGTCTCTCATATCCACAGCAAACCCCTATATCCGCAGAAAAGCCGCCCTTTGTGCTATGCGTATATGTCGGAAAGTCCCCGATCTCCAGGAACATTTTATAGATAAATCCAAGGCGCTTCTGTCGGATCGAAACCATGGAGTCTTACTTTGTGGCCTCACCCTCGCAACCGAGTTCTGTGAAGAGGACGATGCAGAAGGTGGGCATGAAGTTATTGAAAAATATCGCCCTCTGGTACCTGCGCTCGTTAGAGTTTTGAAAGGCCTTACGACCTCTGGGTATGCACCGGAGCATGACGTCTCAGGAATTACCGACCCATTCCTGCAGGTAAAGATACTTCGGTTCCTGAGAGTCCTCGGCAGGGGTGATGCGGCCACAAGCGAATTAATCAACGACATCCTTGCCCAAGTCGCTACCAACACCGAGTCGTCCAAAAATGTGGGAAATTCCATACTCTATGAGGCTGTCCTGACTATTCTGGATATCGAAGCAGACTCCGGTCTTCGGGTGCTAGGTGTCAACATTCTTGGCAAATTTTTAGCTAACAAAGACAACAACATTCGATATGTGGCACTCAACACTCTCATTAAGGTGGTGGCTGTTGAGCCAAATGCCGTCCAAAGACACCGGAACACCATTCTAGAATGCTTGCGGGATGCCGATATTAGTATACGCAGACGTGCTCTAGATCTTAGCTTTACGCTAATCAACGAAGGCAATGTCAGAGTTCTTGTCAGAGAGCTCCTGGCTTTCCTTGAGGTTGCTGATAACGAGTTCAAGCCCGTCATGACAACTCAGATAGGAATAGCTGCGGATCGATTTTCCCCCAATAAAAGATGGCATGTTGACACTATGCTTCGTGTCCTGAAACTTGCGGGTAATTATGTCAAGGAGCAGATTTTGTCCTCGTTCGTCCGCCTGATTGCCACAACCCCCGAACTCCAAACCTATTCCGTTCAAAAGCTTTATGCTAGTTTAAAGGAAGATATCTCGCAAGAAGCCTTAACTCTAGCTGCTTCATGGGTCATAGGCGAGTATGGTGATGCTCTTCTCCGTGGCGGCCAGTACGAGGAGGAAGAGCTAGTCAAGGAAGTCAAGGAAAGCGACATAGTGGACCTTTTTACCAATATACTTAATAGCACCTATGCTACCCAAACCGTGACCGAATATATTATAACATCTGCAATGAAGTTGTCCACAAGGCTCACCGAACCTGCGCAGATCGAGCGTATTCGACGTCTCCTCAGCAGCAGATCTGCAGATTTGAGCGTTGAAATCCAGCAACGGGCTGTGGAATACACCAACTTGTTTGGGTACGATCAAATAAGGCGTGGCGTGTTAGAGAAGATGCCCCCACCTGAAATCCGCGAAGAGCAGAGGGTCTTAGGAGAAGCAACTAGCAAACGACAAAGTAGACTGCTTAGAGACAAGTCTAAAAAGCCTGCCAAACCATCAGAACAGGATTTGCTGCTCGACCTTATGGGTGGCGACGATACATCTGCCAATATCACTGCCAATACCAATGGGTCGCAGAACACAGCTGACCTGTTGGCCGATATCTTGGGCGGCGAATCTATTCCCGCTGCCTCATCGAGTCCATTCCAACCTACGCCCACTAGGTCATCTGATATACACAGCATCATGGATCTTTTTGGTTCGAACGGCACATCCCCGGCACCTCAAGCACCACAACCTTCCACATCGCCGATGGGACTTCTCGGAGAGCTCCATTCTCCTCCTGTCCAGACACCTTCTCCAAGCTCCGCTTCCCCCGCCCTAACCGTATTTGAGAAGAATGATCTTCTGTTGACTCTGCAAATTCAGCGGAGTAATGCTGGTGCCCAGATATTGGCTCGATTCCGTAATACGTCTACTTTCGATCGCTTTTCCGGGGTTGGATTGCAAGTGGCTGTACCCAAATCTCAAAAACTTCAACTTAATGCCATCAACAAGGCTGACCTGGAAGGAGGGCAGGAGGGGACTCAAGGAATGAGAGTCTCTGCTATTAATGGGGTATGCTTTCCCTTCTTTTTTTTCCTCTCTCTCTTTCCTGTAACCACTGTTTCTTTCATACGCTTTGTTTCTCTAATTTCTAATTGATGGCTAACCAAAAAATATCGTTTTCCGAAATAACTGTAGCCTCTACAAGGGAAACTTCGACTCCGCCTCAGGGTTACTTACTCCAAGAACGGGGCGCCTGCAGTCACCGAACAGTTGGCTTGGTCAGAACCTTGAGAAGGCGTAGCCAGGCAGGCGATGTTGTGTGGGCCTTCCAAGGTTACCTTGAGCATTCCCATGTCGCGACAGCCTACACATATATTTTCTAGTAGGCTATAATCTCAAGCTCACGGGCATAAATGATAGCACATTCAAGACCCTCAATTAAATCAAAGAACACTATTTACTTTCATGTCTCGCGTTACTTTCTATCCTCTTTTGTTGACTTTTATAGTTCTCTCTTCAACACCCAGCTAGCAACTCCCAAGGCATTTCTTAATTACAAATGTATACCCTCTATGTCCATATGAATGATATCTTGATTTTACTTCGTCGTCCAGATATGGTAAGATTTTCGCCATTCCTTTTGCGCTATCATACAGAAGGTAAAATCATGTGCCGGACAACCCTTCACCAAAATAACGCCAAAATTAACGTCGACGCCACTCAACAACACGTTCTAAGTTTACAACTCCAACTCTGCGCGCCGATTTACCTTTCTCTCTACATCAAGCTGGCCAATCACAGCTGCCCTGCAATGCTGCTCTATATGCCAGAAGGGCTGCGCTTTCCTCTCCTGTCCTTACTCTCCCTTTATGAATATGTTTTTTAAACTATGTTCACTATTGGATGTTGATGAACTCAAGGACTGTAAGAGACTGAACGGGCAAAGCGTTCTTGTAGCGTTCGAGCTGTTATTCCGCACCGTTCTGCTTCCAAACTCTATTTCAGGGGAAGTTCTACAACGGCTCAAATGCAACGGCTCAGGCTTATTAGAAGGAATTTTTTAAAATTTGCGTCATTTCGACTTGTACATGCTTTCTAGCATGCTGAGTTACCACTGAAAGGGCAAAAGGGTTGGATACTGGTGGCACATCTTTCGCCCGTATAACAGCTCCTTCCCTTCTTTTCTCTTTCTCATCACGACTTGTCCTGCCTCGATACATTCAGAAGATACCCTTCCCTATTTCCAACAAGTATATTATTCTTCGTTCCCGATAGTCAAGACCCTTTATATTCTCACTATCAACATTTTTGTCTTATATACCAGACGTTCTGCCATTTTAGATTTACATATATCCATACATATCCCAACTAAAACCCGTGCCAAGGGAAACCAAATAGCCGTAAGTAGCCCCCTTTCGACCTTTCTTAGTTCAACTTCACTGTTATCTCTGTTCTCTGCTTACAGCGGCTTCAACGTTGCTGTTTCCATCGTTCTGGGGCCTATATGCCTCCTCCAGAATGTAGATAGATATTAATGTGCATAACAAAAGCAGGATCTTTTCTAGCCCAATATGTCAGGACCTGCATTTGAGCCTACTCAGCGTCCGTCTTCGGCCAGCACTTTGATCGATCCACGCGGAGATCACTTGACCGCGGAGGAGTGCGATGCGGTTTTGGGCCTTCTGAAGCTCTCGGGCTGTAGCCCTGGGCAGATGAGAGCGGCAGAAATTGAACTTGGCCAGCAGTATGGCTACCCCTTAGTGTCCCAAGGAGCCACTCCACCTGCACCCACTGTCAATCCTGGAATGTCTCCCGTGATGGGTACTCCTGAGGGTTCTGAAAGCTCCTCAGACTCTACTCTGGAAGACGTAAACCCCCTCTTTGCAGAGGAACGTTTCTGCAGAACCCCGCCAAACTCTCCCGGGACCGCTTCAGCAGCAAGTATTAATCTGGGGATGCGCAACATGGCCATCCATCCTCTGGAGAACACCCCTCCGGATAGTGATTCCTCTGGGAATATGATGAAATATCCTCCCTCTTATTCTCCTGGAAATGGCGGGAGCAGTTCCCCTCTGGATGGGCCGACTAACGACGTGAGAATGACGGATTCTTCTCCGAAGATTTCAACGTCCTCTCCTAAGTCTCAGAATAAGGTCACCATACGTAAATCGGTTGGGATGGTTGCAGCACAGCCAGTCCTGCAACCAACCAGACGGTCCACAAGACAACGGAAGGAGAGTCGACGGTTGATCGAAGCTAGAGAGTCTGAGAAGCTCGGAGCTTGCTAGTAGATTTACCGGGGTGCAATGAAGAATGACGAAATGACTAAATTGGTAAGTAGCTATAATAAGTCCCCCTTTAGCGCTGCATTTACTAACCTCTGTGCCCTCTATAGATAACTAATGCTGGTGTTCGAGGGCTTCTATTTCTGTCATGTTATTTTATTTATTTCATATTAATTACCCTATACATTTTTGAATGTTTCCCCCAGCAGTAGTACATACCTTTATACTTCCTGTTCAGTTGATACAATCTTTCCCATTGTTTCCTAGAACTTCAGGTAACTTTTTTCTTTTTTGAGCTTTATCTATAATAACTATGTACCCACTACTCACTATCTTGGATGTTTGCATTATTCATCTACCATTTTGTTTACACGCATGGATATCTGATTTTTTCTTTCGACCTCTTTCACTCTTTAACCCTCGTGTTGGCTTGTTGGCTACCTTCTACTTTTAATTTTGGTTACAAACCCACCCCCTGTTCTGCTTCTTCAGCCTGTATCACCATTAATCATATGTATGCTACGTATTGCGAATTTAATAAAGGCTCGCTATCTTGCAAACCTTTTACATTGCCATACCTTCTCATGTATTGCTTACATATTTCTCATCAAATATAGCCCTTTTAGCCTTCAAAGGAAACGCATCAAACGCCACAACCCTTTTTGTAGAGTGACTCGTACCTTACCCCGGGTTTGATGGAATAGCTCCATTTTCACTGCCTGTAAGTCCAGGAGGTATTCTTACTATTAATTATGTAACTTCCAAGTTTTGCTATCTTCCACCGGCTGTCTAGCTGTATGTGTGCCTACGGAAACAGGAGGACTGAAAAATTGCCATATCAGACCTTATTCATATCTAGCGTAGGAGAGTCGTCGGTTACCATATATATTCTTTTACTGCCCAACTTTCTACAAAATAATGGGATATATAGTGGAGAATATCATTGATGTGGTAGACATGTCTCCTCGTTGGCTATTCTCCAAAAATTTCGTTAATTGCTGGAGTTATTGGTATTTCTCCGATTCTTAGGTGGTGGTGGCTGATATTAAACTGGAACTCCTCCTATATCGCACTACAACCTCACAACTGTTTAATCTATAGCTCAACAAAACTAACTAGTAGTAATGAATTTTTAAGATCCACCGGCCTCCCAATCCATGTTTCCTGGCCTCCCGTCTAGTCTCGCCTATCTGGGCAGCCAAATCCTCGATCAAATGGAGATGGAAGAAAAAGGAGGTTGTCCATGTACTCCGTAGAGTGCAGTACCATTCACATTTCCTCACCACCTCATAATCAATTAGATAAACATGTACTCCGTAATAATTCCTACGAATGCTCGGGTACCCTACCGTGCGCTCGGACGGTGGGCCGTTGAAACAATAGTATGGAGTAGCTTTGAAATCGAAGCAGCATCAGCGACATTTCGAAGCAGAGAGGGGAGCTCCCATGTCAAGGTGGTAGAGCCATGGGGGTGGAAAGGTGACTTTGTAGGGGTATCAAACCCTGCTGGCTGAAACAATCTCGCTCAAAGCCAAATACTGTTCAGCGTGACGATTCTGGAGTTCATAAAGTCTCCTGTCAGAGGTTTCACGGACCGGCCTGGCACGGTTAGGCCCCCTGAATCTGCTTTCTCTGTCAGCGTTCGGTTGCCCCTAGTGACAGTGACAGCACCCACAATTGCTAATGTATGATAAGTGTCTGGCATGTATCTTGTCGTCCTGAAGGTAGTTAACTGCCTTAGAAGAGCGTTTGAGGAAATTCCCTTTTCGAGAGTACGATGCTTCAAAAGTAGCGCTAGGGTTAGGATGCCTTATACCCATATATGAAGGGATCGCTGAGAACCCTGGACCTAGCGGAGACGGATAGGTGACGAGAAAGACTGAAGAGACAGCAGCCTGAGGAGTTTGGCAAGTGTGTTGACGCATTGAGGCCGTATTTCAGTTACTATAAAATACATGGGGTTGCGAACAACTAACATAGTCCTGCAAATTTATATACAGTATTTGACATTACTTTTGCATCCACCTATTTCCAGTGCATTGCTGGCATCAATGCATTGACGGATATGATAGCACAACAACTAAAATTAAAATTTGACCGAGGAGAAGCCAGACATCCGTCTTAAGGCTTCCACTCCAGCTCCACGCCGAAAGTGCTATTCGACGCGTCGCGGAAAGAAATTAACGGGTCACCGCTCTTTGCACATTCTACAGTACGTCCAATACAGCTCATTCCTGCGAATATCCATGGATGTCCAGGGTGTGCCTAGAGCCGCCCGCCCATTTTCACACGCGATTGTTCTCCGCCTGAACCGAAGCTCGAGCTTAGGATTAGACAGGAGTCCTTTTTCATTGTCCCAGTCCCTGCTACTAACCAAGATGCAAATGAATTAACCACCAACATTTGCACTTAGGAATAGATCATGAGTTTCGTCTCTGGAGCGAACTTCGCCCACCGAGAATCAATTGACATCTTGATCGCGCAAACCTCTGTTGTACATGCTCTTCAAAGCGATTTCCAATAGATTCATAAAGCGATCCTCTTCAATAAAGACGTCGTCAGACTGCCAATCATTCTTCGAGTCATTGGTCTTATGTTCCGCCGCATGGCTGCTGAAGTAGTTGTGTCCCATTTTTTTGGCAAGGTTCCGGAAACCTTTGTGTTTTAATTGGGGAGGAAGTATTTCGGCGATTGTGGAATGCGGCGGGAGGAACATCCCATGTGTCAGGCCTGCCCCATGCACGGCAGCGAGGATGTCACTGCGACGAACAAGTTTTATTTGCTCCCTGAAGGGCAGCGCAGCCAAGTCAACTAGATTAACCTCAACAGCTGGGAATTTGGCCTTTAGACGTTCGATATATCGCTCCTGATTGATCAAGCGCCTTTTTTCTCTACGGTCTATGAACGTGAGCACAAGCGGGCTATCCCCAGGGCGAGGGTCGTCTCGGATATTATAGAAGTTGAGCACTCTTTTGGCAAAGGTTTGCAGAAGCTCCGACTGTTCACATTGAATTGGTTCCCAATGGTTCTGCCAAAAGGGACTACCCCCTCCTGGCAAGGGAACTATGATGTTGTCCAGGTTGATCTGTGCGGTGGCTGATATGTCCTTCAATCTGATCGTTGGCTGCTTCGCAAAGAGTTTCCACAGATCAAAGTAAGGGCCGTCCAGGAGGTCATCCAAAATAATAACTTGGGTATTGGCGATATCCTCTGGCATAAAAAATGGGAGGCTCACGGCTTTATTTTGAGCCATCCTCATGGTGTCCAACGTCAAGGTGAGGCCAATAATTTCCATGAGAGAATGGAAAACGTTATAGTGACTATCTTCGCGTTTAATGAGGATCGAAAAATTCCGTCGTCCATGCGGAAGCTTGTGGGAAGGTTTTTCTTTCCGGTCAAAACGCACAAAGTTATTGAATATTTGATGCGGCCCCGTCCCATACCAGTATGCCGGAAATTGCTCAAATTCCGGCACGCCCTGCCTTGACTCCTCATCACTTAATGATCTGAGAGAACAATCTAGAATGAATTTCTTTTGGCTGTGGTCGAAGCTCGCGGGTCCTGAAATACAGAATGAATCTGTTCGCCCTCCTGGATCGATCTGACTATGAAAACAGGTAATGCTTGACGCAGAGCCGGCATCACAATAGCTAGTCTGACTCTTGGCTAGATTTTTCAAGTACTCAAGGTCAAATCGTTCAGCACAAAAACGATCCTGATGTGGCGCGCTTGACGTTGGTAGGTAATCTCCGGGAGGAGACAATGCCATAGATGGACTATCAGCGGGCTTGGGGGAATGGTCCTCATTTTGGACTGGATGCTCTTGATAAGGGGCATCTTCTTGAGGCGCACTCCTCGGGCCCTGGAAGACAATGTTTTGTCGGGAATGCCAACAGAGTGTGAAGAATATAAAAGCAGCGAGGCTCCCAGCGATCACATAACGCCGTCCGCGGAAGGTAGAGGGCATGCTGGCTGCACAAAAATGACAAGAGGCAGACTAGAAAGTGGATAACAGCACTTTGTGTCGAGATATAAGAAGCCGTGCTGAGGAAGAAAGTGCCAGCTCCCATGTTCCGATACAGGCCCCAAAGTTTCAGCGTTCCCTGGCATTCCTGACAAGGCTTGTACTGTACATGTATGTACAGTACCTGGCCAATAATCGTGGCTTCAGGTCAAGGGATCTTCATCGGCGCTAAAGACGGGAAGAGGCTAATAATAATTAATGGGGGCTGACCCAATCCTGAGCGGTTTGCCAACTGTTTGCTGGTTGGGTTTATCAAAACTTTGACGCTGGCTCCCACCTCGCTGGCCCTCAAGCATACCGATTTAGATACAACTTCATATTCAGGAGCGCATCTGGAAGTACCGAACACATTGCTGACCTTCAGCCAATTTCGCCCCCCAAAAAAGCCATTCTATCCCTGGCAGCCCGTCAGCACTAAGGGCCTAAGGTCCAATTTGATGCGTGGTGAGACTCGGAAGGCATTTGGCATCCCTGTATTTACATCCATGGAAAGAAACAATTACACCGGGGGGCACACGTTTTCTCACTTTCCCAAATATTTCTGGTTTGGTATATTAAGGTGGCTATTGGTTAATTTTCGCTCTCGGCTTCCCTTGCTTGGTGCCGACAAAACACAGTGCTTGCGCCCCTGACTGCCCAACTTTGAAGATCCTATTAATATGTTTGATACATCCCATGTCCGAGAAATTGAACATCTTCTTTCCCCTTTCTTGTATATACAAGGTGAACATTGGCATAATTCCGATCTTTTTCTTAAAACTCTTGCGCCCGATCCAAACCCCTTTATATCGTTCAGTCCCTTCTTTGAAACAATTTGCCGCAGTAAAAAACTGTCTACCACGACCTCGTTGGGATATATCAAAGAGGTTACAGCAAGATGGATCCAAAGGGGGACGCGGTCCCCTTAACATCAGTTTTTACTCCTCCATCTTCCTGCTCGTCGAGTTGGACTTATGAAGAGGCATATTACAACAGCGTAACTGGCGGCCTGCTGATGCAGAACGCCTTCAACAAGCGCGACCCCAATTGTTTCCCCCCTTTCTTCGAAGGGATAGGACGAGGACAGATTCAACAGGTGTATAGCCCAGGATACTGTCCCCAGGGTTATACCTCTCCAGTCGCGACAACAAATAACGCGGTAACAACTGCAATCTGCTGCCCGTCGTACGTCCGGCCTAGATCATAAGATCCACCGCCTTCCTACGAGTCAACAGCATCACTAATATATGTATGACCTTCTGCAGGGACTATACTTACTTCACAACCCTCACGACGATAAACTTCTACTCCAAAACAACAATTTTTGCGGGCTGCATCAGTACCTTTCCTGAATCTAGCATAACGACCGTCCTCGCCCGCACTGGCCAGGCTAGTCTTGCACACTCGGTCGTCACAGGCCCAATAACTATGTGGGGTCAGGCGATTCTCGTCCAGTTTGAATCGAAAGACCTCTCCATGTACTTGTCAAACACCATCACCACTTCCAGTTCTTCTACGAGCACCACTGCAAGCCAAACCTCGACCCAACCAACCCCGTCCCAACCAGCAAATAACAATCAGCCTCCACCAACTTCTCTGCCCCCTTCTAGTGACGGCAAGGAGCCTGAACTCTCCGCCGGCGCTAAAGTCGGGATCGCTATCGGTGCCGTCGGCGCTGTAGGGATACTCATAGCTCTAGTGTTTTTCATCCGCCGCAGCCGCCGCCGCCGCCACCACCAACTGCGACCCGTCGATGCGATTCAGGAGCTAGACACAGGTGCTCCGCGGAATGGCTTCTGGCCCCAGAAGTTCCAGAGCATCCCTATACATGAGATGCCCGCCTCATGAAGCAATGGACGGGCACTCTGAAGCTGTGCGTATACCTTGCACATGCAACGCACATAGAATAAGCCCAGGGAGACTTTGTGGGTATCTATCACGAACAGCGCGCCTGATTTTTGGGGGATTCGGCTGACGGGATCGCTAGATTCGCGAGGGGTTTAAATCAAAACAAATCAAAAAAACAAAAAAAAAAAAAAAACGGCGTTTGTCCTCTCCGTCTTTTCGTCCATTAACCAATCCCGTTTTCAACGGGATATTGCCCAATTCATGTCGTGGCCCCACTGACACCATCCATCGCCCACGAAGTATACGACTCAAATCAAATCTGAAAAACTTTGCTCGAAGAGTTCGTAGGAGTTCCTTTTACTCATGTCATCCAGGGAGACACGTGGGCTGGCCACGGGAACGGGGAACATTTTACCTTTTCTTGAAGACAGACAATCGAGTTAACCCGCCGCCCCCAACCCTTGGCCCCCAACCCTTGGCCCCCCCCCGGAAAGAGCATAAACCGGCGCACATTCGATTCATATCGAACGACTTTGAACCCCCCTGTTTTTGTCAGCCTCGGCAGAGTTGTCCCCTTTCCATTTCTTACATGAACCGAGACACAAACCGGTCATGGACGGATGGATACCTGGAGGTTCCCTTGAATCGTTCCTAGCCTAACGCCTCCTCTTCCTCCTCCTCCCTCCCATCCCCCATCCCATGGATGAACAGGGTTGCCGGGTTGCTCTGGATGCGCGACCGGGCTTCAGCTGCAGGGTTTAAAAAATGGGGACAAGTCCGGCTCAACGAACTTGTTCCGATTCGAGAGAATTGGAACCACGTTTGGGGTAAAGTGCACGTGACCGTTGAACCATCCTTGTGCGTTAACCACCATATTTTTTTTACCCAACGGGTTTTTCCTTTTTAACTATAACTATACATGTACATACATTAACATATTTTTGTTGGCCCTTACGGCCGTTGCGGTTAGCGATCCCACTAGATCACGTGACCCACCACTATATTATGTTCCTGTAGATAGATCTATCAATACAACCTTCAACTATCCTACAGGTTATAGCCCGGATGGCACGTTTTTCTTTTTAGAATGTTGTACCAACATTTTTGACACGGATAGTTCACCTTTTTTGAAAAGACTCTCACTCTTTATTAGAGATATTCCATTTTCCCTGAATCTGCCGGTCAGCAGATTCATATACTTTATATTTTTGAGAAAGCGCGTTCTCCATTGTGGAGGATATCACTTTTTTTTTTTTTTTTTACATACCTCAATATGAGTGATACGCCTGTTACTCCAGAGTCCAGCTCAAGGCCCAGGACCACACGCTCCACTAGACGACTCATTGATAGGATGACCACTCATTATGAGGAGGCTCCTGACTTGCAAGATGAGGCTGAGGTCAGTTTTCGCCAGAGTATGGAATTTGATGATGAGACAATGGAGGAGCTTCAGGACAAAGGAAAGCAGAGTCAACATCCATCTGCAGAATCTGTTCATTCCAACCCATTGAATCCTCCACCATCCCCCACCCCCGGAATGCTGACTTTTAACAGTGATCTGAATCAACCTATCTATTGCACCGCAGGCAATCTTATGGATCTTATGCAGATGATGCTACAGAACCAGATGGCTGCGGCTGAAACCACTCAACATCTCACTACACCTGTCCCTGCACAAAGAGACACTACAAGAGATGAGTTGCGGGAATACCAGAAGGAAGTCAAATATGTACTAGACATCAAATCAGTGATCACATTTGATGGCTCTAATTATGAAGCCTGGCGTGTTGGTATGTTGGCTGATGCGGAAGTTATTGGTGGAACTGACATCCTATTGAGGACCCAACGAGAATCCCCTTTTACATGTCATATCGACTCCGAGAAGTGGAGGATCCGTTCCAAGTCTCTATATAGGTGTATGCTATTGAGTCTTGTTGGAAACATTTGAACCACTATTGGAACCTTGGAAGCTGACAATGCTGCGGCCCTGTGGGACAAGATCAATGTTGAATATGCGATATCACTGGCTGAAGAATGAGTTAATGTCTTCAAGGAATTGACAAAATTACAAGTCAAGGAGAATGATTATCTTACTTTCCAGAGATGTTTTTGCTATCTTGTCGCCCGTCACAAGGAGCTCTGTCAGAGCACTGAGGATGTATACCATGATCTTTTCCTCAACAACCTGCAAGACTACCAAAGACCGTTTGTCAAGACACGTTTGGATGAGTTTTTCTCCACTGGCCAGGGACCCATTGTCAACATTGATATTGATGATTTGATGAAGCAACTGACCAATTGTACATCCAAGAAGATCACCACCGAGCGGAAAAAGCAGCCTCAGGCCGATTCTGTGACTGCGAAAAAGGACAAGGACAAAGATAAGGACAAAGATGAGGACAAAAGCACACCTGTATGGAAGTGCACTCACTGCAGGAGACATGGACATACCTTCAACTATCCTACAATTTTGACCTCCTAATTACTAATCCCTCTCTCATATTTTCCATAATAAATCATATCCCATCCCTGTCATACGGACAAAAAAAAATGGAATATATTCTTGGCTGTTCGGCTGGATATAGCATGCTTTCGGCGAGCGATTGACGGACTGTACATACAGCTAATAAGTGAACGAGTGAGTTACGAGGTACTCAGAAGAAAATAATTGGAAGGGAATAGAACATCAATTAATGAGATTAGATCCTGGATAATAGTTAGTATATCATATATATATACTCCGTATATAGGGAAAGCAAATAGTTAAAAAATCAACTGTCATTCCATAATCGTTAAAACCAAAAACACATTATAATAACAAAAAAATGAAAAAATGAAAAGGATAAGAAACACCATGTAATGATTTAAATATCCCCCCATCCCAAAAAAAAAATACACAACACGCACACACACACACACACACACTCACACACACACGCATGGATGAATCATAATCATATGAGAAAAATCCGAGAACCCTATCCATCCTTCCATCCTTCCATGCCCCAAAAAAAAAAAAAAAAAAAAAAAAAAAAAAAAAAAAAAAAAAAAAAAAGAAAAAACAACCATAGGCCCCTAATCCATGTTCCTCCTTGCCTCAGTCCATAATCCTTCTTCGCCCAGTCAGTACTTCCACCTGCCGGGCCTTCCAGATAAAAATAGAAGGGGACTTTGATGATTCTCCAGCTAAAACAGGAAGAAAAGATAATAAATAAAACATATAGAAAAGGCCAACGAGGAAAAAAAATAGTATGCCCACTTGTTCAATGTTCGATGATTCGATGCTCGTTGGTTGACTCCAACGGTTCATGGGGCAAAAATGGCCTCAAAACAGGTGCAGTAGATAGATACCCCACCAGAACAAGAACGAAACCAGAAGAAAAGAAAAGAAAAAAAGAGGAAGGAAAAAAATCCGAACGTACAATGTGGAAAAATAGCACCAACCTCCTAAGATGGCGATGGTTTAAATAATAGGCAGGGGAGGTTGAGGCGGTCGGAGACATACATAGGAGCCAGCGGTATCCGTGAGGCGAGTTGAAAAGAGAACAGGTTATATAATCGATGATGGTCATTAGGGTTTATCATCATTTCGTCGCGAGAGGGGAAAAAAAATCCAAAAACAGTTCAAAAGATGGTACGAGATGATATGATATGATATGATTGATATGATATGATTGAGAGAGGAATCCAAAAGCAACCCAGAAATGTAAACAGGGGAAAGGGAATATGAACAAAACAAAAAATAACTGACAAAGAAATTTGATGAGATAAGATGAAGTGAGATGAGGGGGAAATAATCGTTGTAACATTGATTCATTCGAGTCGTAATAAAAAGAATAACGAAACGAAAAAGAAACAAACAGGGGAAAAAAAGATGAATAAAATTATGAATAAAATAGTAATAATTTGAAGAGGAGAAATGGAAGGAGAAGAAGAAGGCTAGCTTGTTCTTCATCATTCAGCACGCAACCGACTCATTTCGCGTACCGTGCGGTCGCGGATACGTTTCTGGATACACATTGGGGTCTGCGGGTCCCATTCTCGGACTGTAACTGTAACTAATATCCTCTTCGCGGAATCTGGGCGCATATCGGATATCACTCTCGGGGATTATTATCTTGGGACGATCGTATTGGCCCGGTAAGACCTCCCCAAACAAACCATCTCGGTTCAGCCCACCTGGTATGGGCGGTGGGTTGTGCATTGAAGGCATGGGCATCGATGGATCGTGACGCGCTGGCATGAATGTAGGATCGATTGGGTAGTTGTACGTTCTAGATCCGGAAGGATGCGGTGGGGCAGGCATGGACGGGTGGCGGGTTGGGGACACGCTCTTGTTCCGCCTGTACAGACCAGGATTTGGTTCGATACGGACGGCGCGGTGAGATACATATTCTTCACTTTCGTCAACGACGGTGTATCTGCCAGGCAATGGAGGGCTTGATCCCGAGTGCATTTCTGGAGTACCGGGGCTTGAATACCCGGAGTCCTGGGGTTCTCTCATTTTTGAGGGTCTGGTCGGCAGAGTTTCGGACCGGCGGAATAAGTTTGGAAATGGCATGGTCTCCGATCGGCGAGGAGCATGTCGCTTTGGACTGGGTCTAGTAGAGATCGGGAAGGGAAATCTCAAACCTGAAGGTGCGGAAGTGGCAGTCTGTAGAGTAGGAGGACGTGGGATAGGGTAGGATTTCAAGGGTGGATCCTGGACGTCGGCAGATCCTCTACGATCCTTTCCTGATGAGCTGGGGCGTACAGAGTCTCTGGTTCGAGTCCTACCTGAGGAACGTCGGGGTGGTGTTTCGACATGTGGGCTATAGTAAGCAGAAGGCGAGGGCCACGAAGTAGACGGACGGCGTTCAGTAGTTTCGTATGAATATCCACTGTTTTTCGACCGTTGAATATACTTTTTCGCATCATCTAGTTTCGACGAAGACCATTCATCGGAATATTCCTCATCTCTGGTTTGCTTTGGGTCTGGTTCACTCGAATTTGACGTGCGTTGCGTCCGAATATCCTTAAATTCAGGTTCCGGTGTTTTTGGGGTGGCATAGTATTGATTATCCGAATCAAACCCATTTTCATCTTCAGGTTCGCTGACCACGAAAGCTTTCGGGTATTTCTCTGAACGTTCCCGGTCTTTTCTCCGCTCTTTGTCTCTATGTTTTGCGCGGTCGGAGCGACTCGATTTCACGGATTCGCGAGTTTCACGTACACGTTCCTTGCTTGAACGGCTTGATACTGGAGGGTCGACATGTCTGGACTTCTTCTTTTCCTTTTGCTCTGTATTCTGCTTCCGCTCGTATCCATCATACTTCCTGGAAGAGGGTCGAGGTTCTTCAGAAAGAGGGATGTCGTCAAAGAAGCTACTTTTAGGCACGCGCTCCTCATAGACTGCCCCGTTTCGATACTCATAAGATTTGGTGAATGCTGAAGGTCGGTGGTATGAAGACGAGCCTGCGTCCTCAGTAGGGAATGCCGATCGCTTTTGCAACTCAACTTTGTAGTCATATTCCGCTCGTTTCTTGTCATCCGACAGTAGCTCGTAAGCCGATTGAACTTTCTGGAATTCGGGTATGGCCTCTTTGCGCTGGTCTTCGTCTTTGATTTTGTCTGGGTGGCACTTCAACACCAGTTTTCTATGAGCGCTTTTAATTTCTGCGATAGTCGCATCCTTAGTGATGCCCAGGGCCTTGTATGGATCTGGTATAGCCTTATCGGACATGTCGTGGGAGCGTGGGAAGTTGTGGGGAGAGGTGGACTGGTTCGCAACGAAAGATGGATGGGGCGGTTCCAAACGAAAGGTAAAAAGTAAAGTTAGGCGTGCCGATTGTGGTTGAGCTGTGGTAAGTTCCCGTATTATAGTTTTAAGTAAGGGGTAATGATGACGACAGGTCGAGCCTCAACAATGAGCCATAGTTGCGATGAATTATTCTTTGTTATTTTGAGGATGATGGAGGTGAATTTGAAACGTGAAACTGTCCAAGGAGGACTTCGGTTGGAAAGTCTTTGTGGTTTAATTGGCCTTGGGGTGGTGGAGGTGGAGGAGGAGGTGAGGTATGACGGTTTGAGAATATGTAAGACGGAATTAAGAAGTAGGAGGAAGGAATTGAAAGAGGAAGAAGAAGAAGAAGAAGAAACGAAGAAAGAGGCGGTGATAAATGAACAATGATAAATAGATGAAGAAGTGAGAGAATCGTATGACAACTACGCAAGTCGCCACGAGGAAGAAGCGAAGAAGCGGGAGTTATCGAGAGCGATGTTGGTCAGTGTCGTCGTCGGCGAACGGGACGACGCGGAGGAGTCTTTTAGCTGGACGGGAACGGGGAAACACACCCACGCTGAGACTGCGCCACGGTCCTTTGCGAAAGGGGTGAGAAGGTGCGGGCAAACTTTGGAAGAATGTGGCCAAAGTTGCAGCTGGGAGCTAATCAAGAGAAAGAAAGAAAGAAAGAAAGAAAGAAAGGGAAAATTCCAGAGCCACGCTGGAAGAGCGTGGAAGGCGAGAAATGATGAGTAAGAATAGTCAAGCCAGGGATGCGGGAAAATATGAAAGCAGTGACAATGGATGTTGTCGATGTAACAGGAAATAAGAGAGAGAGAGAGAGAGAGAGAGAGAGAGAGAAAGATTATAGAAAAGAAGATAGGAGAATGCTGCAGAGAGAATTCTAGTTACTAATAGTAATAATAGAAGAAGAAGAAGAAGAAGACGAAGAAGAAGAAGAAGAAGAATGATGTTGAAGATGGGATGTGATGATGGGGTCAGGCCGGCGCCTGCAGAAGCGGTGAAGCAGCAAACGAGGAAGAAGCAGAAGAACAGCAGAAGCGACGAAAAGCGGAGGCTGGATGGAGACGAAAAGGGTAGTCAAGTCAAGTCAAGACAAGTCAAGACAAGACAAGGCAAGGCAAGGCAAGTAACCAAGCCAACAGAAGCCAGCAGCAACTGGTGATTGATCACTAATATAATACAGTTCTTATTTCACGGGGGAAGACGATGTTGACCAAGACCGAGAATTGATGACAGGCGCCAGGGTCTATCTAACTAAGCCTGGTGGTGGACGGGGGATTTGCCCGGGTTGTTGTGTGTTCAGATGACGGCTGCAATATCGTCACTAGTTATAGCAATAATAATAGGTTTCCCACCTTTCCCCAAGGTAGAAGGAAAAGATGCACAGAGCAAAAGAGGGGAAGAAACCGACCACAGACAGACAGACAGCAGACAGACAGACAGACAGACAGAAGAAATGGCGGTTGCAGCCCGTTGTTGTGCAGAGTGGAAGCGCCGGCTGCGTCTGATCACGATAGATAGATAGGATAGAGCCAGAACTATTAGTTACAGCAATAGATCAGGGTTATGCTTATTTCCCTTCCTCCCAATCTACTCTGAACACATTCTTATTTCCTTCTTTTATTATTATTATTATTATTTTTTTTTTTTTTTAATTTCTACCAGAAGCCCGGTGCCTCGTGCCCCGTGTGCCTTGTGCCTTGTGCCTCGTTCCTCGTTCCTCCATCCCATCCATCCACAACTAAACATGACTTTCTCTTCTTCTCCGCGCTACTCGCACCTCGCACGCACACCCACCCCCCGACAAAAACAACTTGACAGCCCAGTCTTGAATAACTAACTTAAAACGCCCGCCCTAGGGGTTACGGTTACCCCTTTCAAGGGCTTCTTCGTATCGAAAGATAGTAAATGATGTAGGTACGCTACACGCTTCATTCGAAGGAGAAGGCGATGGTATGCAGTGTGGAGGGTTTGACGTGACCGGGGGGGGGGGGAAATAATAATAATGGGATGGGTTGGGGGAGGGGGGAAAGAGGTTGAACGCACGCAGGGAAGGGAAACTAAATCCGATTCGCTGCTGGGTTTGATGATTGCTCAGAGCAATATTATTATTGAAAAATCAATGTGAAAGTGAAAAATAACATAAAACTAAAAACTAAAATAACGTGGACGGACTCGTCCGGGTGGCTAATAAAATCATACGAGAATGATGTCCCATTTTCGTTATTTTCACACTTTCGATGTTTGAGCTGATCACAGGCGGGGCGGGGCGGGGGTGAGTGACGTGATAGGATGCCCTTTATTATTATTTTTCACCGCCGAATGCCTCGTTCCCTAATGGCCACTTAACTACTAATAAGAATTATAATTAATCACATTCATCATTCTGTCTGGATTTCGTTTTGGATATTTCGCCATTTTTCGGATCCCTCCTAGATATTCATTCCATATCATGATTTTGGGTAAAAATGTAGAAAGTTAAACCTGGGAACTACTCTCTCTCTCTCTCTCTCTCTCTCTCTCTCTCTCTGGTCTGGTTTTTTGTTCCTGGCGCGAAACTCTGTATCTGGCCTCGAGCAAAACAGCGGGGTAGAGAGTCTGGGACGACCCAGCCCTGGCTCCCGTCCGGCTCATCGCCCATGGTTACAGGACAGTACATACATACGTAACTTGCTGCGGAATGCGGTAATCGTTTTTTTGACAGCAAAGCTGGGCGTGACAGTGGTTACAGGTTCACTGCTTGGGGGGGGGGGGGCTCCATCTTTCTTCCGCATCACTTCTCTTCTTTCTCATGGCTAGGTTCAGGTAACCTCCAATCATAAAGAGCGATGGAGTGAGTGAATGGCATTGTACGGGTCTTTTTAAGAAATATCACTTATAGTTAACTAACTCCTGTGCTTGCTATTAAATTTGGTTGGATGAAGGCGAAAAATAACTAGAATAGAATAGAGAGACTTCCCTTGTTTCCATCAGGACACACTCAACGCAAACACACGCAACACATACACAAAACACAGCGCGATCCATTATTTGTGAGATGAGAGCCGGTGTTTCTGATGCGTGACAAGGAAGATACTTCTTCTAACTAGGAACTAGGTGGGTTGGGCCGATGGAAAAATGACGACAGAAAGTGCAAAGTGCGACATTCCAGGGTCCTTTAGTCCCACCATCTAGGGGGCAAGGAAATTGTGGATAAACGATAAACGATGGGATGGGGTGAGCGCTGAGGGGACAGACAGGCTAGAGAGTCAGACTAGAACAGACTGGACGGAAATAATAATAATAATAATGTCTCGGCAAAGTTGTGATCTGACGTACACGTACGTACAGGTACTTCATGCCCATAAGGGTCTATCTATTATCCCTTAGCGAGCCAGCGGGTGCGCTTCCTGTCTTCCTGTCTTCCTTTCTTCCTTGGTCTACTATACTATACTGTACATGTACATATCTACCAACGCGATGTATGGCAATCCGTGTAACGACATATCTGTCATCTACAATAGGGGATAACTACTAAAACTCCATCGAAAGTTGGAAGTTGGTGAACAAACTTTTAATTGAACCTTTTGAACTCGTACATTATTCTACACATAGCACAGGCTATAGCAGGTAGGTAGATAAATACCCTCCTCCCCACCTAACCTTATTTGGCTCTGGTGGGGGGAATAACTACATCATCCGGAGCCCTGAAAGTCTTTACAATACCCGTCCAAATAGCGACATCCTAGAATATCCCAGCGCGTTCTCGTTCTCGTGCCCTCTTTCTTGAACATTCGATTCGGACTTCCGAAAGAATCTACCTCCCGACTGACTGACTTACTCACTCACTGACTTACTCACTCACTGACTGACTGACTGACACGCACGCCAAAACCCGGGAGGCGAGCGAGTGAGGCAACAATATACTAATAAATGGATGGTGCCTCGTCTGTACAAGTACCTAGCCTCCTCCATACATCGTCACTGGCGGGGGGGCCAAGTGGGTGATTGGCGCACGGCACTGGTCATCTGCATCGCATGTGGGCGCGAGTAGTCTGCGAGAGCCCTGGATGGAGGCGTGCTGGAGACTTGGAGTGGAGTGCGAGCCCTCAGAGGGGAAAGGGTTTCTCCATCCATTTTCATCCATTTTCATCCATTTTCATCCCTGGCCACTTGTCTTGTCTTCCGTCCGCCCCCCACCTCGCTGGATGATTTGCTGGCTCTTTATTATTAATAAACTCACCCCCTGCTGGCGCTGTTTGCAAAACCAACCTTCCCCAGCGTACCATTATGCTTGAAATTTGAGCGGCCTCTACCAGGTGTTAAAGAGCTAGATTTTTGCCCGTTTGTATCACATCATTTGAACCTACTGAGCATGGTGGGGCTATTTGAGCAGTGAGGGAGGTATCATCATGCTGAGTTTTTGAACACCCTCAAAGAAATATAAAATAAAAATGAAAATGAAAATGAAAATGAAAAGTAACAAAAATTCAAGACTGCAAATGGGCCAAATTCTCGGCCTTTTTCCCTCTAATCTAATGGAACAAAGACATTGTTCACATCAACGACCAAACCAACCAATCAACTCCTGTACGGGTTCATCATTGTTTTTATTGTGGTGGCAACTTCAAACAGGCCAGGCTGCATAAACCATCCTAACTCAGCAGCACTGACAGGGCGAAAGGGGCGGGCGCCAATCCGGTTGGCTGGCATAGCAAAATGTGAACGAGTGAAATCGCCCCCAGGAGTCCCGAGGAAGAGGACAGATAAGAGAGGAGTCCTCTGCCGCCGCTGCAAGCAGAATGATACGATAATTATGATATGATATGTTTGTGCTCCATAGTTGCTGCTTGGTATATTTCTTATTCCATTGTTGTTGTTGTTGTTTGGTTCTGGCTTGGGTTTGGATGTTTCGCATAGTCAGTTATCTGAGGAATTATCGTAGTTGATTGATGGGGATTCTATAATAATAATAATAGCTAGTCCCCCGTAACTCGATTTACGTTTTTACCGGATGACTGAACGTACCTGTTTCCATCCTCTCCTAGTTTTACTCGTTGTTCCATGAAGTTTCTCATTGTCTTCCAGTGCCATCCTCGATATGCCCCTCCTTTTCGTATAAGGTCCAAGCCCGCGCCAAGCCATGTCTAAACGGTTGAGGGGGGGTTAGGTTTTTTGATATGCACCATCATTGATTCATTCACATTCATTCATGTAATGCATTCAACGCTTTTGCCACCACTTATTGAATAAGACAGGAAGTCACTGGTAGACTGGCCGCCGGGACCATGAATTTCATGTTTGGTCCCATTTGATCTGGTCTCATACATTTCTTGGCATGAATTCCACTGAGACTAGTCATTAAAAAAACATGCAAAATAACTATATATGAGATCTTAAAATGAAATCATAACTTGAAAAAAATGAGAAAGTAATCTCATTTAATCTCATTTAGTCTCATTCTTGATATAAAGTTACTATTTTTAGACATTTTAAGGTTTTTTTTAAACTATTTTTAATTTTTTAAAAAGTAATGCTTTTTAATAATACTTAAATAAGATTTAAAGTTATTTAAAGTAATAAAAATAATTTAAATTGAGAAGTGAAAATTATAATCTTATTTAAAAAATGTAATAAGAGTAGATAGTAAGTTTTACTGAGACAGTATAAAACTACTATTTAATATTAAAACTATATAATGAGATCAGTTAAATTAGTAATGAAACTATTAAAAAATCTAGTTCTAGTCTCAGATATAATTATATAGTCAGTTTAGTCACTGATAAACTAGCTACTAAGATTATAAATTTCACATTTAATCTCATTTAATCTGATCTTATATATTTCTTAACATAAGTCTTATTAGAACTAAGTCTTAAAAAAATCTGAAAATGAATTATTGCTGAGAGAAATGATGTGAAAAATAATCAGATTTAATTCAAGAACAGTGAAATAAGAGTAATTTCTCAGAATAAACTATAAAAGATAATTATTCTTTTAAAATCAGAATAAAACTGAGACTGAAGATTAAATTCAGTCTTATTTAATTTATTCAGTGATTACTTATATAATCAGAATTTAGTAACAATTATTAATAATACTCATGAAATAATTAAATATATTCTTGTATAAGTTTATTCTTTACTTTTATATAAAAACTACACTTCTCTGATATACTGTAATTAAAGATATTAAACTATCTAATAATTCTATATTTTATAATTGTGATTCGGAAGAATGTATGATTATTGAATAATAACGCGGCTGCTTCTGAACTACTAGCGTATATATATGAGTGTAAAGAGGCTATAACAGCTGCTAATTAAATTAGTGTATGATATTATAATATATAAGAAGTCAGTGTACATCTGTAATTGTATACTGACTCAAGCAATCTTTGAATCACATCTGATAGCATGTCTAAAAACCAGTGAGAAGTACAGACTTCTTCAGAGCATGATAATTTCATCTATGAAGTGATTTATAGTTATCATGTCAGAGTGGTTCTAGAACATCTTAAAAGATAGTATATAAAGAGTGATAAGCAGAAGAGTATTTGATTAATACTGCTTTACTTATTAAGAGAAAACTTCACACTCAGATGAATGTCACATATGAGATA